CTGTTCTGAGCCACGTCTAACTGCCCTGGGCAGGGTAGAGCAGTGGACAGATCCATCTGGATTCAAATTCTGGTTCTCCATTATTGTGTGACTTGGAACAGAACTCTCAACCTCTCTGAACCTGTTTTCTCATCCAGCATGGAGGCTAAGTAGTACCTCCTTTTTCTTCCTTCCAAGGAGGGAGGGAAGTTGTGAGGATGAAGCCAACCTGCCCTCAACTCCTTCCTCTCCCTGACAGGTCAACCAGCCGGCTGTTGACAGATGACTCTGAGATGCTGCAAACAAGTTACTGCCTCTGCCCCTCTCCATTCCCCCCACCCACACAGGATTCCAGGCACTGGGGCAGGCCCGACAGCCCAGTGGGCTCCAAGAAGGATCCTGCCCAGATTGGCAGCTGCCCCCACTCCCTACCCTGCAGGACAGGCAGATGTCACTTGTGGATGCTCCCTACTCCCAGCTCTGCTCTCTGACTTAAATGACTCAGTGGTCCCTATATTTTCATTCCCTTAGATACAAACACACCAACCACATACATTGAAAAAAAATTTTTTTGGAGGGGTATCAATTTTCCTTTTTAAAACTTAAATAAATTGTTATAAAATAGATTTTAGAAAATAAGTTACAAATTGTAGCAAAAGGCCCCCCTTCCACAGGCAACATTCCTACTGGTAGCTGTCTGAATTTGCCTCTCCCTGGTGCTGGAATCTGGGAGTTGGTGAGGGTGACCTAGCATCGTGGTAGAGCCTGGCATCAGGTTTCTTGCAGGGCTAGTCATAGGGAAGAGCATGGTGACAAAGGCTGGGGAAGGAAGTCCTTCAAGGACAGGAACATGAGAAATACCTCACTCCTTCCTTGGGAAAGGCAGATCTGGGTCCTCTTCATAGGGGAAAAGGAGAAGAGATGGGGATGCCCAAACTACTCCTGAGCAGAACATGGAGATCAAGCCTCTTCCCTGCACCTGCACTCCCACCCCATACTCTGATCTTTGGAGACTTGAAGTTCAGAGGGAGAAGCTGAGGTCTGCAGGCCACTGGGGTGAAGGGTCCAGGAGTGGAGTCGTGGGGGTAGGTGGAGGTGGCAACGACAAGTCCCCTCTGCCTGCCGCTGGGGCCTTTGGGCCTCCTGGGGAGAGAGAGAGGTCACTAAGGGGGGCACACTCCGCAAAGCCTGTATCCTCCTTCCCAGCCCTGCCCATGGCTTAAGGTCTGTATGAGAACCCCAGAATCCTAGGACCTCTAATTATTTTTCCAAACCTGGCTAACTGTCTCCTTGAACATTCCCTTGAAGTCACAAGAACTCTTTTATCCTGAAAGCCAACTTGTCAGCTCTGAGGGAATCTTGCCCACCATCCCTTCCTTCTCTGCCAATTTCTGGTCAAGGGCTCACCATCTCAGGACACCCACCCGTAGTGGCCACTAAATGGAATGGGTCCTAGGAGATCTTTAGAGGATGTGGAGCACAGAAGCCTAGGGCTCACTGAGGGAACAAGCTGTCCTACTCAGCAGCCTCGTCTTCCAGCTGGGCTGGGTCAGGGTGACTCCGAGAAGATTCTCCGATAGAAGGAGATAGGGGCTAATGACTTGTTGCTACAGCTGGGCTTGGCTTCAAAAGAAACAATTATGTATGACTCAGTTCTCCAGTTAAAAGTGTGCTAGCAGGAGGAGGTGTTCAGGTGGAAAGGGTGGTTTGGTTGGATCCTAAAAAGGAGATACCCAGTGAAGGAGGAAGAAAAGGGTTGAATAAAGAGTTGGAGAAGAGACAGGAGGCAACAGTGGTAAGAAAGGACCAAAAGTCTAGTTTCTAAG